AAATGATTTCCATAGATGTTGGTTTATGTTAATATTACACAGCAGCTTATACATTTCAGTAAAACAGTTTTTACATAGTCACCTTTTGCCCTGATGATGTGACATTAATAATGGTGCTAAAATCAATACAGAGATCTGCACCTTTTAATCTTCCAGGAAATAAGTAAATGCAAATAATAAGTGACAGTCTGTTTGCAGTCTCTCAGTAATTGGTGGAGAGGGGTAGGTTATTACAGATAGCAGTCCAGAGTATATTATGAATGGTTGATTAGGTAAAGATATGCAAAGTTTAAGCACGTACTATATGTATATCGTACTACTAGGTTTCCATAAGCAATATAATATTTTCTCGATATCACATTTGTCTCATCATCCTGGAGTACACAAGGCATTATAACATTTGTCTCATCATCCTAGAGTGCACATGGTCTCCCATCTATTTACAGTATATCTCAACAATCAATCTAGAAATACAAGAATTTTGAGTTCAATCTACTAAAATATTCTCCAAATCATTAAATTGTTGTCATCAGCTTATAAAAACACATTGTTCACTTAGAATCCATTACTTCAAGTTACTTTGTTACATAGGTAACTGACTTCACATTTTTCAGAACACATTTTTTTTGGGGGGGGGACATTATAACCATGGTACTTTTACTTTTACACTGCAGAAGAGGTCTGCTGACCCTACGGCTAAAGAATTTGTCTCACAGCATTATTGTCCTCCTTGCAGAAGCGATCTAATGCTGCTGCGCCCCCTCCACAGGAAAGCCAGCAGAACAAACTGCTACAAACATATGGAGAATAAGAAGTTCACAAGGTTATTTACAGCAATGCAAAAATCCTCACAGGCTACAGGGTCTTGTCCTAATCACCGACTAAGCGATATTACTGATGGTCCTGTGTTCAGATAGAGATTAAATTTAGGACTTGACAAGCACAGTTACAATCTAAGATACATGAGGCTGCATTACAAATATATGACTTGACATTTAGAATACTTATCACATATTATACCACTTTCAGGCTAACTTAACAGAACACAATTGAACAATGCATTGAAAGTGCTATTAAAATTACTTGCTCTGTTGAATGAAGCAATTATGATTTGATATCAGAATTGAACAAGGTAATAAACATAATACAATTGAAGCAAAGATTGAATTCCGTTGTTACAATAAACAGCAAAAAGAAACAAGGATTATACATAGATGCACTGTGTTTATAAAGCAGTTACAATTGGAACACACACAAAAAACAGCATGTATGCAGGTACCATTAAAGGAGGTGTTTATACTACTAATGAAACTTTGTGTAATGAGGCTTACTGTTGTGCTTCTGCTTTTCAGAGTGTCATTACATAATTTTACTAATCATAGAGACTTATGATGCTCTGAGAAAAAGGTAGGCATAGGTATTGGTTAATTTCTGATCGAGCAAGGTGCCAAGTGCTAGGTTACCCTGTTGTGCCCACTTACAGCCAAATTCTTTGTTGCACAGTACATAATAAGTTTTTTCAGCTTTACTCTGGCAATATTGTTCTTAATCAAATTTTCTGCCCATTGGGACCAAAATTGCTGGCTCGGTTTCTTTTGATGAAGATGAGCAGTGTCGGAGCAAGAGAAGAGATAGTGATCTGGGTCACCTACTTCTCCACAGCCACAGGTGTCCGATTCACTTAGGTGGAAGCGATGTAGATAAGATTCAAAAGGGCCATGGCCTGTGAAGTAGTGGGATAATTAACCAATGTTGACTCAGAGTGCTTTCCCCACTTTCGGAAAAAATTCTTATGTTCGTCTGCCCGTGGTTGCTGTTTCCCACCTCTGTTGCCACTGTGCAATGACGTGCTGATGTGTGACTCTTTTAATTTGGGAGACTGGAAGTTTCACTGGATGTTCAAGTAGACCCACATCATTTGTTGCCGACTTCACTGCCTTTTGCTGAGGCAGCTCGTTTTATAAAGACAAGTATATAATTAATTCGTTTTATAAAGACAAGTATGTAATTTATTAATCAATTTTATATTTTATTCCTTTTATCGTCTAGCCTTATAAAATTTTAGATATTTTCCATTTGCTTCTTTTACTAAGTGTCTTTTCTTTTATCACTTGTATGTAAAAAGATCTGTTTCTTTTATCACTTGTATGTAAAAAGATCTGAATATGTTTTAATACTATAGCAAGATTTTTAGATAAAAACTTAGTGCTACTGCCATCAGAAATAGGATAAAAAAAGAGCAATAAATAATTTATATATAAAAAGAAAAATATTAATAAATTTAGGTAATAATAAGTGAATAATGATTTAAAATATCATAAAAATTAAATGAAAAGATATAAATAAATAACAAATTAACAAAATTGAAAACGCCAAGTGAAGTAATTAAAGAAATGAAAAGTAGAAAGATAAGTTCATTATAATGAAACATGATGGACAAAATAAATGGTAAGTTTCCTTTTCCTCTTCTTTTCAAATGGCTGAACACTTACTTTTCATCCATTTGTTGAGAATAGCTGAACCAGTCGGTCATACAACCATCTCATCAGCAAGAATATTGTACAAGGTACACCACTAGGGATGGTCTGATATTATGTTTTTGAGAAGACATAATACATAAATAACAAGGCTTTAGAGAAGATTCAAACCCTCATCCTGCCATTAAGACTCATAATCAGCTTCCGCTATCTACTATACAGTCCAAGGCGATGACAAAACAAAAAAATTTTCGATCAGGAAAGTAAAAATGCATTTTGTTTCATTGAAGAGAAAAATATTTTTCTTTGCACTTAAGTGCAATGTGCATTTTTATATCTGAATTTTAAAATATGTGCATTTTTATTTCCATTTAAACCCACCAGCAGCAGAGCGGTAAAATTGCTTTACGTTGGTAGTTCCAAACTGGGTTCAATACCAAGCAAATGGGCTCGCTGCATGGATGTTTTCATGGTTTTCCACTTGTGTAACATGAGCCAGTTTCCCTTAGAAAGTCCTCCATAAAGGCATTTCTTCCCTTAGGCAAATAACCACAGTATGCTTTGCCGCAATCAACTAAACCTCAAACTTCTAATCCTTTTAAAGATATCTTGACCAAATAAATGAATATGGCCCATAAAATTTTTTTTGGTGTTCACATTTTGATAAGGATTTTCAGCTTCCTCAGCTGCTGATGTTTACCATGCATTTTGCTCTTTCATGGAAATTATGTTATTCATTCTGTTTCTAGTGCCAGTATCAATTTTGCTAAATGCTAAATAAAATATGGCATGAATATTTTCTGTTAACAATATTTCTTGTTAATACTGCAATTCAAGTGTATGGAGTGTTTGTCTGATTTGAAACTCCAGTGATACCACAACCGCACATTGACTGAATTATAGACTTAATCTCAGCAAATTTTTTGTGTGTTAAAATAGATACTAACAACACACTAAACTTGTTAATTTTTAGCTTACAACTGATTATGGGAAAAGAAAATGTTCCTTTAACATCATAAACTATTAACTAGCTAGCTTTCTTGCATTATGTAGTTTAATTATGTCTTATATTTTTACCTTTATATTTATTGCACATGCACATTAAATTGTACCATTTTAAAGTAATTTTTATTTTTCAGAGACAATCAAGATTGAAATTTTTCAGTTATGGTTCAAATTTCTTAAAAAAAAAAAAAAAAAAAAAAAAAAAAAAAACTTAATATATTATTGTACAGAATTTTGAAGGAAGCCCAGAAATAATAAACTTATTTAAAATAAGCCAACTTTAAACAAAACTAAACAACTGTAAACTTAAATGTAAACTTCAAAGCAGAAAACTCACCTCTGCATAATAGTAATGCCTAAAACGTAATGATAGATTACAATAAATTTAGTGGTAAACAATGAATTCCGATTTCTTCCAACTTAAATGTGATGTGGAGACAGCACACAGACAGGGAAAAATTGGCCAACTACATCACATTGTAGGAGAAAAGGAGGAATAAAGTTTTCCTTTTGCCCTCATGTCATACATTATTCCATTAATGATGCTGGTATTTGTATAGCATGCAAAGGCAGAACTGAAGAAGACACAACATGGAATTTTCATGAACATGGAAATTCAAGCAGCCATGTGGTGCATGCCCTAAGATGATACTCCTAAGGCCAAACATTGTCATGATGGAAAGCAACACCCAGTCAACAATATTTTTCTGAATTTATTGTCCGATTTTGGTGGCAATTCATAACACACAATTCCTGTATTGCCCCACCACCAAACAAAGCATTACTTTCTAGGATGTAGCCACATTCTCGATGTTACTAGGAGGTTCATTTTGATCATCCCATGAGCATCCACTTCTCATACCCAATAATTGTATAGTAATGGTATAGTATACACTTCTGGTCTCGGTGACCTGCCATCTCAAAGAAGAAATCTCTATTTCATTTCGGCAAAGAATCACATGCCGAAATTCAAGACAGTATATTCTGCTCCTTACAGTACTGACTACCCATATATCATAACAGCTTACACCCCAGTCTTCTTCAAATGATGATGTATGGTACTTTTCAGAATGTCTAGTCTGTCTGATGGTTCCTGAAATGTATAATAAGGATTTGGACATCATCTTCGATGCTGAAATTTCTGCAACCTTAAAAACCACCTTCAAATTGTATTTCAGAAATAGTACTTTGTCCATATACAGCATAAATTTCACAAGCAGTCTTGCTAGCATTTTTCCCATTTTAAAATAAGTTTGAAAAACCATTAAAATTTCTCAATGACTTAACAGAATTAAACTACAAATGTTTGTTTGTTTCACTAATTGGGCACGCACAGAAAAGGAAAAAAAAAAAAAAAGTTTTATGCCCCAAGTACTTTCATTTCTTTTAACAACTTTAAGTTAACTGTGTTTTAATATAAAATCTACATCTTAAAAAAAAAAATTTTTTTAAAGGTGTAAAAATGAGTCATTTGCTTAGTGAAAAAAATTATAATAATTCTTGCTTCTAATATTACAGGTTGGTGATATGGTTGCAGCTTTAGCGACAGTGTCGCCTGAAAATTCAGAAAATGAAGAAAATGAAAATAACTGGATTTTAGCTGAAGTTACTGGATATGATGAAATCAAACAAGAATATAAAGTCGATGATATTGACAAAGTGGCAAGAGCTGAGCATGTTGTCCATCGGACTGGGGTTATTCCTCTTCCTTTAATGAGGGCCAATCCTGAAACAAACCCTGAAGCTATTTTTCCAGCAGGAGCTCTTGTGCTAGCTCTATATCCACAGACTACCTGCTTCTACAAAGCTGTTGTGCATGAACCACCCCAAAAAGCACATGAACCATACAGTCTTCTGTTTGAAGACACCTCTTGTAAAAGTGGTTATTCTCCACCCAAAAAAATACATCAGCATTATGTGATAAATTATATAGAAAATGATATGGATGATAACATAGATCATGGTACTGATGATGATTCATACAGTGACACAGATAACGACATGGATGATGATGATGATGATGATGATGATGATGATGATATAGATGATGACATGGATGAATCTGAATAATCCATTATGTATATATATTTTAATCTGTACTATTTGATTAAAAACTTGAACTCTTTTACATCAATTTAGTAATTTATTTACAGAAAGCTTAATGGACTTAAATTTTTTATATAAAATACAATCATGATTATTAAAATAAATATATTTGAATGTACAATATTTACAAGATAATATACCTTCATTCAAAATTTACATAAATATAGAAGTCATTAAAATAATTTAATTTTAGCATTTATAATATCTTGAAAGATGTCGAGATTACTATAAATGAACAGAAATTAAATATTGAAAATTAAATGAAAGCATAAATTTTGCTTTGTGCACATCTACAGCATTTTAGGACTGAATTTTTTTCAACATGTCGCAGTGATCCTGCCACATGATATTTGGAATAGTTACTAACACATCTTAAATTTGCTTACTAAAATATCCGTAGCTCATAGCAAGAAATTTGAGTGAAATTTTTTGTTCAACTTTAGTCAAATCCAGTAACTGAATCTTTGCTTCATATAACTGTCATCAAGTAGCTCACTGTGAATAAATATAACTGTTTTAATTATCCCCCTCATTTATCAGATCTGATGCCTGCAGATTATTTTTCCCCCTCCAAAATCAGATTTAACTTTAAAGATTTTATTTTGAAAGCACTTCAGAAAATTAACAAACACTGGATGAAAAAGTGTTTCAATATCTGATTTCTAAAAGTAATTCAGACCAAGAATTAAACATTCTGAAATGCCTTTAGTTAACAAACCAACAAGCTCCATATCATAATTACTAAAAAAGCAAGCAGCAAAAGAAATGAACATAAAAGAAGTACAGTAGAAGTCCATTAGTCCGGCATCCAACAGTCCGGAATGCCCGATAGTCCGGCATCGCTCCGGAAAATTGTAAAAATTTTGGTTTTCTCCAAAAGTGTGTCTTTAAAGCAAATAAAACCGCTCGAGAGCTATTCGAAAGTTTTCGGGGTAGTTCGAGATCATCCGGAAGCGCTCGGTATTGTTCAGAAACAATTAGCGGCCGGCTAGTCTCAGCTGTCACAACAAATTCAGGTGCAGTGCAGCTCTGTTAATCAATCACGAAGCATCTTCGCCATTTTTTTGTGCGTTGTTGTTTTGTGTCCTTTCACATCGCAGTAAACGTAACTTTTGAAACTGTTTATAAAAAAAGTGATTTTTGTTCTAACTGTACAGTGACCATGTTTTCAAAACCTAAGCCTTCGAGTTCAAAAGGAGAGAAGAAACGAAACGAAACACGTAACACTGACTCTCAATCAGAAACTAGAAATCATCAAACGGCTAGAAAAAGGCGAGAATAGAAATGTTTTAATGAATGAGTTTAATATTGGCTCATCAACTATTTATGACATTAAAAACAAAAAGATGAACTAATGAAGTTTGCTTCTCAATCGGTAACAACTGAAAAATTGGCTTCTAGACAAACATTAAAAAAACCAAAACTGGAACAGCTAGATAGTGTATTGTTCAAATGGTTTAGTGCAGTACGTTCTGAAGGAAAGCCGGTAACAGGGCCAATGATTGTTGAAAAGGCAAAGAAATTCGGCCAAGATTTAGGAGTTGCTGAAAGTGAATGTAATTATTCTGATGGTTGGCTCAGAAACTTTAAGTTTCGGCATGGAATTCGAAGACTTGATGTAACTGGAGAAACCCTTTCAGCAAACCAAAACTTTGCAGAAAAATACAAAGACGAGTTTGAGAAAATCGCAACTGATAATGATTTAACACCTGAACAGATTTACAATGCTGATGAAACAGGGCTATTGTGGCGATGTTTACCAACATCTATCTACACTAGCTGGGGGAGGAGAAAAAGCAGCCAAGGGTTTTAAAAAGAAACAAAGACAGATTAACCGTTTTGCTATGTGCTAATGCGTCTGGAAACCACCGAGTGACCCCTTTTGTGATAGGTAAATCTGCAAAACCCAGGGCTTTTAAGAATGTTACACACTTGCCTGTCCAATACGATGCTCAATCAAATGCGTGGATAACTGCCGCCCTCTTTAAAGACTGGTTTTTTCACCACTTTGTGCCTGAGGTCAAGGAATCCTTCAAAAGCCTTGGTCTACCAGAAGATACTAAAGCCATCCTTCTTTTGGACAATTGCAAAGCCCATCTGCCAGTAGATGAGTTAGTTTCTGGAAATATTGTTGCTACTCTGCTCCCACCTAACGTAACATCTTTGATTCAACCCATGGACCAAGGGGTTATTCAAAATTTTAAATGCCTGAATTCAAAATTCAAATTCAAAATTTTAAATTATTCAAAATTTTAAGGCCTGTTAAATGCCGACTGTGACGTGACTGATTTTCAAAAAAAGTTTACAGTAAAAGATGCCATCTATGCTATTGCACAGTCTTGGAACCAGGTAAAAAATACAACACTCCAAAAATGCTGGAGAAACCTTTGGCCAGCTGCAAACCCTGCATCTGACCTAACTCTACAGACTGATGAGAAAGAAAAACCATCAAGACGCTCTGACCGAAGTTTTGGAGTTACTGACGTTAGAAGTACTGACAATCCCTTGAAAAACCTGCCTGAAGATGAGGTAGAGGAGTGGCATTTAATCGACGAGAATGAGCCTGTTAAACAAGAACTAACCGATGAGGACATTATCAACATTGTAGTAAACCCTCAGCCTACTCAAAATCTTAAAGAAAATGACTCAGATGCCGAACGGAAGAAAAGGAAGAAAAAGAAAAGGAAAAAATCAGCTGGGCAGAAGCTGCAGAATCACCAAATAAGTTTATCTCTTTTGCCGAGGCTAGTACTAGCTACAGTGCTTCAGAAATTATTGATTTCCATATCATTAGAAATAAATTTTATACTAAACGCCAAAAGTCAAGAAAACAAAAAGACATTCGTGACTTTTTAAAATCTAAGTGAAATATGTTTTACAGTACGTGTACATACATTATATGAAATGTAAAATAAACTTTGTTGTATGTATTTGCATACTGTATTTTTAGTTTAATTATTAACCTAATTGTTCTTATAATTACCGCCCAATATACCGGAATTTTCGGTAGTCCGGCACCGAGCCGGTCCCGAACGTGCCGGATTATCGGACTTCTACTGTAAAAAAAAAAGTGTCAGACGAAGTAAAGATTTTTTTCAGGTATTCTGAAATTTTTAACGATTCTTTGATTTTTTAAACAATCCAAATGCTCTGCCATTACCAAGAAATGTGTTGCATCACAAAGAATGCATAGAAGGTTAATAGTGTAAATGTTTTCCCCCCCATCTTAACTTTTACGAACTCAGTCCTAAAACTTTTGTAGTTGTGCTGTGTTATCTGACATGTGCAAACTAAAAAAAAAAGTACTGTTCTTTAAGATTGATCGTGAAACTAGATCCTCCAAATCTTCAGTATCAGTAATAAACTGCAAGTATTTAAATTAAAAATCATAAAAGAAAAATTTCATGTGATGCTTAAATTTAAAAATATTTGGAAAATATAAGAAGCCTTTTCCTACAAGCTTAAAAAAAATCTGGAATAAATACATGTAATGAAATTTACATATATTACGTATCACATATTCGTTCTTAGAAAATCCTCATTGATTGGCCCCTAAGTCTCTAAAATGTCTTCAGCTGCAGATGAATTGGGAAACTCTTCAGTTTTAAAAATTTCTGGTGGTTCATACTTTATTTGTTTTTTAGTCACCGGATTTCTTCTGAAAAAAAAAAAAAAAGGTTAACATTACACATCAAAAAATAATAAGCTGCCTTCATTGCATATACATTATTGATCAATGAGCAAATGTATTTAAATTAATTTTTTATTATTAACTCTTGAGTTCTTTCCTAAAAAATGTGAGGGAAACATGTTTAATGTGTTTATATAAAAAAAGCCAAGATTCAAAATAACTTGCACATAAATTATTTCTCACTTGTATTTATTTAGGTAGTCTTTGTACATAATTTATAATACAGTTTTCAACATGTATATGTTGTTTTTAGCAAAAATTTTTGCTGGATTTTTTGTGGAAGTGTATTTTATTAAATTATCATTTCTTAAAAATAAAATCATATGTTTCCTATCACCCAAAATCTTCTATAATACAAAATTACTTTTTTTCATATTTATTGTGACTGTTACTTATGAAATTACTTAAATATGCTGAATAATGATTAATTTTTCAGAATACACTTTAAACAAAAATTTGGCAGGAATGGGGAATCAACATAAATGATATACTACCATTCCATGCCTGCCCATGATTTTCAGGCATGGCATAATTCAGGTATAACCAAGAAATTTTGGGAGTCAATGATAGCCACTTTAATCAGGGGCATACCCTCAACCACTTGCAAATGATTCGTGAATATGATATTACAGAACTGACAACATGCATCACTTAACAGTTGATAATGAAAAGGCTCAGTTAGTTTTAACTTTATTTGTATTTATAGTAATTTATCATTGTCAGTGTATCTTCTCTCTCTTGGTTGTTGTTCTGGACTAACCACAGCCTTCAGAATATACATGTCTATTTTCAGATGATTCTTCTGCTAATAGCAGTAGTGTAATCTCTCAGATTACAGGACAGCTAACCCATGAAGTAGTGACCTCTCTCTAATCACATATAATTAGGCAGAGAATTACAAAGACATTTTTGATGTAAATGATGACAGTTCACCTTGAATAATAAACTTTATATAACTGCCAGAAAATGTCCAAGTTCACAGCAATGGACATGGCAGTTACATTCTCATATCATATATTGTGAACATGGGCATTTCCTGGCATATACATTCACATTTCTGCTACAGAATTATTTTCTAATAAATTTTCATTCAGATCAGACTTAAAATTTCTGATTGTTTACATTAGAATATATATTATTTCCATTCATTGTGAAGTCAGTGGCAACGTTATTAATGAAAACAGCATTCCAGAAGTAAACATCTGTGGGAAAGACATATCAATACATAAAGATGGGAGAAATGAGTCCACTATAAACTTAATTTATTTTCCCATAATTAAAATATTACTTAATCTTTCCTGGAATAAGATTAAAATTATTCTGCGCATTTATTTAAGAAATGTTCATAAAAGACTTATTATTATGTTAAATTCTAAAATAATAGCACCATAAAAATTTGAAACATATATATATACAGTAAAAAGTCGTTAATTCGGACACCCATAATACGGAATGATCTATAATCCGGACCTCAAAGCTACAAACTTTCTGTGCATGCGTCGCATTGACGCATGCGCATAGGCGTTTACGCGTGCGCGTAAGACCTTTACGGCTGAGAATATGCATGTGCGCATGTGCATAATACGTTTACGCATGCACGTTTAATGTATAACGGGCGGTATAAGCTACGCTAAAATTATCTAATTCAGTTAATGTTGCAGATTGCGTTGTTCCTTAATCTTCGAATTAGATGCGGCTTATTATTTTTCGCAGACTGTTAGAGCAATTTTATAAAAGTAAGCTTGAACTTTCAATTATGTCAAATAGAATTTCCGATACATATTTACTAATATGTAAAGGATCTACAAAGCGAAAGTATGTTTTGAAATCCGTATCAATTTCACGCTGCTCTGCGGCAGGGGGGGAGAAACGCCGCGGCGCGCAATGAATTGGAAGTTGATCTGTCAGCACTATCCTTATCTTCAGGGCAGATGTTTTTATTTTATTTGGCTTATAATTCCTTACTAAATGTAGGACTTCATTTTGATGTACTCCGTCTTTGATATGATTTAAATCAAGTTAGCAATTATAGGACTTGAACAGAGGAACTTTGTAACTAAACAAGAAATTATGTCTGTTTAATAGAATTAAAGAAAAAGTATTGTCACATGAAATGAAGCAACTTAAACAACTTACATTGAAAGAAATGTTTAATAAAGTAAACAAATAAATATATTAAGCTTTTTCTTTTTGTAAATTTTGAGACCTTTTAGATCATAATTGTTCTTTATTTCATAAATTAAGGTTTCATATTTTTAATTTTGTAATTTCTGCATGCCATCTTACCAGATTTAAACTGATGATCTACAATCCGGAATCGAAGTCCCGACGAGTCCGGATTAACGACTTTTGACTGTATATATTTTTGCCAATATTTTATTAATTATAATAATTAAATCATCTCCTTTACAAAAAAGGCTTCATTCTGCAAAAACTTCATTTCTTAAAAATAATAATAAGGTGACTTTAAAAGCTTTTCTGTGTATATTAAAGTCCTATAATATGGTTGCCAAATAACAAGCATTCTCCGGTGAAATAATAATAATAAAAAGTCTTATGAACATATAACAGGAAGTGCATAACTAAACAAGAGACAATGAACATAAATAAATGGATGCAAAAGCTACTTTAATGTATACAAAGTGCCCCACAATAAAGTCAGCAAATACATTCTATGGCTGAAGTTAGCTAAAAGTGTCCAACAGAGTGGTACATGTTACAAGATGCCAAATATCATTAACATGTGAATGCAAAGCTAACTGCCTACCCTAAGAAGAGTGTTGCAAATCTGTTGAATGACATCTCTAATATGCTGCTAGAATCTAAAAAAGAATCTGCACATTTAAAATATTCTAAAATTCATAACAAGATGCTAATAACAGGCAGTTTCTTTTTATAAAACTGAACTACAATTTCAGAAATAATAATAAAAAAAAAAACTTTTGATTTTAAATTGTTTTATTTTAATAATACCTTGAGAAACATTTTTTCCCTACAATACAAAATCACGAGTAGAATGTTCTTAATCAAGTGATAGTGAGTTTAAGAGTCAAATACTGAGATAAACTGCACATGCTTGTTCTATACCATCATCTTAATGTTTTAATTCCACTAATGTAAACAAGTACAGAGGATGAAAAGTATCACTTACACAGAAGTTTACATTCATTTTCTCAGGAATCAGATTCAGGACTGTTTTTAACCCCGATACATATTTTACTTGATGGCTGTAATTAAACCAGTAGGGAGTCATGGTCAAAGAGAAAGCTCTCTCGAACCATGATTCCCTGCAACTCTTCTTTGTAGTACCTACACATTCCCATTGAAAATTTCCTTCACACCCTCATACTGTGTCTGGCATTCTCTGTGTTTATTTCAGCGGTACTTTGATTATAGTTAATTTTTGCACTGTAAAGCTTTTTTTTTTTTTATGATCCCTTTGAAATGGTGTATTATATTGTAAAGAAAGTGCATTACGGGAAATTTATTTTTCCTTTTCTCACTGGACTTTTGGAGTATTACATTAATTGTCAAAAATCCTTTACTTTCTATTCATACAAACAAATATGTAGCTTATTTTATATTACTTTATGTAAATCAGATTTTGGAAACAGTATGTAACATAATGCAGTCTACAGTATACTTCATTGTATAATTTATCAATTAAACATGATCATATTTATATATATTTTGCATGATTATCTTGTATTATGCATAATATTTACTATTATTCGTAGTTTCACATATCTGTGATAAACCTTAGAACACAGAACTTGCAAATATGGAGGCGCTATGTATACACAACTTTCTTTTTAATCACATGACAGAGTAAAATGTCAATATCAAGTAACTGAAGCCAATGTTCATATATTATACTGTTTCAAAATTATCCTTTTTCTGAAGAACTGTTTTATATAGTAATACAGTAGGATTTAAAGTCCAAAAAAGAAAGAAAACAAAATATTTTAAAGACTTGCTACATATGTTACCGTGAAAGACCGAAATTGGAGAATGTCAACATTCACCAAATACGTCGGTGAAAGATCGAGTATTGCATTACATTCTTGAACATTCGGACCCTCACCGGTGATGTCAACAATCACAGATATGCTCTGGTGTAGGTCGAAAAGAGAGGAGTATATGTACACGCTTGTCATTGCAAAAGGAAGTGTTTCACAAATAAATGCAGTTGTAAAAGCAAGGGCCTCTTGTGCAATTCAAAAGTGTTATAATAGTTTAAGTTGTTGCAATAAATAAGATTTGAAACACATAATTTAGTAAGTTTTTAACTTCATTTTCCTTTCTCATTTTGAATGTACTGTGTGTTTTAAATTCTTATGTTCTTAAGTTCTTATTTTAAGTCTCAAGTGCATTTTTTTGCGACTGAATTACGGAGAAGAAAATATAATATTCTTATATGTTCAACATTCACCATTAGCACATGGTGAATGTCGACATTTACCAGTGGAAGTCAAAAATAAAAGTATATGGAAAATATTTCGGACATACACCAAGCGACTATGTGAATGTTGACATTCACCAGTGAAAGTCGACATTCTCCAAATTTCGGTGTTTCACTGCAACACATATACAAATGCACTCATATTGCATTTATGGTTTTATTAAAATTTAAATCAGAAGTTATGTTATTATTAGATTGTAAATATAATCTATATTATTCAAAAAATATTTTCACTTTAAAAAAAAAAATTATTTTTAATCCATTTAGTACGTGAAAAAAATTGTTTTACATAAACTTAAGATTTTGTGCTTTTCCTATCGTTTAAATCTGTTCAAACCTGTGCAATTATGTGTTAATACTTATCTATAAATGTCAATATTATTATACTTAATTTACTAAAAATTACTGGAAACTTGGATTTTGAAATAGAACTGTTTTGTTCTGTAATTAATATTTAATAAATTTAAATGAATCCCCATGTTATAAATAATTAAAATTTTATATT